TCCCATCATTCCCATCATTCCCAATCCCAATCCCATTCCCATCATTCCCAATCCCATCATTCCCATCATTCCCATCATTCCCAATCCCGACATTCCCGACATTCCCGGTACCGGGCTCGGGTTCCTGCAGGATCAGGACGTTTTCCCGGCGCAGGAAGTGCAGCTCCCGCGCCACGTGGCACGCCGTCAGCGGGCTGTCCCCCGTGATCATCACCACCTGGAACACCGCAATTCCAGCAATTCCCGGGAATTCCCGGGAAAACCCGCGTTTTCCTGCTTTTCCCATGGGATTTTCCCTCTTTTCCTATTGGAACTTTCCCTTTTCCCTTTGGAATTTTCCCTCTTTTCAGCCTGAATTTTTCCCTCTTTTCCCTTTGGAATTTTCCCTCTTTTCCTATTGGAATTTTCCCTTTTCCCTTTGGAATTTTTCCTCTTTTCCCACTGGAATTTTCCCTTTGGAATTTTCCCTCTTTTTCCCTTTGGAATTTTCCCTCTTTTCCCTTTGGAATTTTCCCTCTTTTCCTATTGGAATTTTCCCTCTTTTCCCACTGAAATTTTCCCTTTTCCCTTTGGAATTTTCCCTCTTTTCCCTTTGGAATTTTCCCTCTTTTCCTATTGGAATTTTCCCTCTTTTCCCACTGAAATTTTCCCTTTTCCCTTTGGAATTTTCCCTCTTTTCCCTTTGGAATTTTCCCTCTTTTCCTATTGGAATTTTCCCTCTTTTCCCACTGAAATTTTCCCTTTTCCCTTTGGAATTTTCCCTCTTTTCCCTTTGGAATTTTCCCTCTTTTCCTATTGGAATTTTCCCTCTTTTCCCACTGAAATTTTCCCTTTTCCCTTTGGAATTTTCCCTCTTTTCCCTTTGGAATTTTCCCTCTTTTCCTATTGGAATTTTCCCTCTTTTCCCACTGAAATTTTCCCTTTTCCCTTTGGAATTTTCCCTCTTTTCCCTTTGGAATTTTCCCTCTTTTCCTATTGGAATTTTCCCTTTTCCCTTTGGAATTTTTCCTCTTTTCCCACTGGAATTTTCCCTTTGGAATTTTCCCTCTTTTTCCCTTTGGAATTTTCCCTCTTTTCCCACTGGAATTTTCTCTCTTTTCCACTTGGATTTTTCCCTCTTTTCCTATTGGAATTTTCCCTCTTTTCCCACTGAAATTTTCCCTCTTTTCCCACTGAAATTTTCCCTTTTCCCTTTGGAATTTTCCCTCTTTTCCCACTGAAATTTTCCCTTTTCCCTTTGGAATTTTCCCTCTTTTCCACTTGGATTTTTCCCTCTTTTCCCATTGGAATTTTCCCTCTTTTCCCACTGGAATTTTCCCTCTTTTCAGCCTGGAATTTCCCAGATTTCCAGCTGGAATTTTCCCACTTTCCAGTTTGAATTTTTCCCCATTTTCAGCCTCGGATTTTCCCCTTGGAATTTTCCTGGGTGTTCGACTGAAATTTCCCAATTTCCACTCTGGAATTTTCCCTCTTTTCCAGTGGGGATTTTCCCAATTTTCAACCTCAAATTTTCCCTGTTTTTCTCAAATTTTCCCAATTTTCCCCCCTGGAAATTCCCCCCTTTTCAACCCTCCCCAAAATCCGGGAATTCCCGGGATTCCCGGGATTCCTCACGTGGTGGGAAGCGCTCTGGATCTCTCGGATCACGGCCTTGGAGTCGGCTTTGAGTGGGGAGGAGACCACGATGAATCCCACAAATCTCAGGTCGCATTCCAGGGATTCCCTCTTCATCTCCCGCACCTTTTCCATGGAAAAATCCGGGATTCAGCATTCCCAAGCCCCTTCAAAAGGCAAATCCCTCCTCCCACCGGTGATTCCTGGGATTTGGAGCATCCCTGGAGTGAGTTTAGAGCTCCCAAAAGCTTGGAGTGATCCCAAATTCCCAAAAGAAAAGGGATTTTCCCTGGAAAAATCTCTTTGGGATTCTTTGAAAATCTCCGGAATGAGAATTTCCCTGGAAAAATCTCTTTGGGATGCCCTGAAGGGGCTCAGGAATGGGAATTTCCCTGGAAAAACTCCTTTAAAAACCACAAATTCCACCCTCCTTTTCCCAACCCCTCTCCCAGCGCTTCCCAGGCCTGGAATTCCGGGATTTTTCCCGTTTTTTCACCTGCTGGTGGCTCAGGGCTCCCAGTTCTTTGTATCCCAGGGCCAGGACCCGCGCGCCCTCGTGGGAGAATTCCCGATGGATCTCGTGGTAGTTCCTGGGACATTGGGCTAACTGGGAAAAAAAAATGGGAAAACATTCCGTGAGTGAGGAAACTGAAAAAATTCCAGAGGGTTTTGGTGGAAAATTGGGAAAAATGAGATTTGAAGGGGAAAAGGAGGCAGGGATTTGGGAGAATCCGGGTGGAATTTGGGATAAATCAGGATAATTCCTTTAGAATTTACAGTCCCCACCCCTTTTCATCTCCTTGATCTCCCAAGATTCCCGTTTTTCCCTGGAATTTCCCTCACCACAGGCTCTGGGCCCATTTTTCCCTGGAATTTCCCTCACCTCAGGGCCCAGGCAGCCATTTTGACCTCCCACCATTCCCAGATCTTCCTTCAACCCGGAATTTCCCTGGAATTCCTCTGGAATTTTCCCTCACCACAGGCTCTGGTGAACCTCTCTGAACTCCCAGCATTCCCAAATCCCAATTTTTCCATGGAATTTCCCCATTTTTCCCTGGAATTTCCCCTGCCTATGGGCACTGGGCCCGTTTTTCCCCTCACCACAGGGCGGCCATTTTGTCCTCCCGGCATTCCCAGATTCCCATTTTCCCACCGTTTTTTCCCGGAATTTTTCCCCTCACCATGGCGTGCAGGGTCTCAAGGGCATTCCCACCAATCCCAGCTCCCCATTTTTCCATGGAATTTACCTCACAACAGTCTCTGGGCCCGTTTTCCCCTAAAAGTTCCCCTGCCTATGGGCACTGGGCCCGTTTTTCCCCTCACCACAGGGCGGCCATTTTGTCCTCCCGGCATTCCCAGATTCCCATTTTCCCACCGTTTTTTCCCGGAATTTTTCCCCTCACCATGGCGTGCAGGGTCTCAAGGGCATTCCCACCAATCCCAGCTCCCCATTTTTCCGTGGAATTTACCTCACAACAGTCTCTGGGCCCGTTTTCCCCTAAAAGTTCCCCTGCCTATGGGCACTGGGCCCGTTTCTCCCCTCACCACAGGGCGGCCATTTTGTCCTCCCGGCATTCCCAATTTCCCATTTTCCCACCGTTTTTTCCCGGAATTTTTCCCCTCACCATGGCGTGCAGGGTCTCAGGAGCGCCCTTGACGGCCGCCAGGTATCGGATTTCTCCAGAGGCGTTTTCCACGGAAGCCAGCACCGCCATCCTCTTCAGGGCACTGGAGAAATGAAAGCGCTGGTGAATTCTCATTCCCGGAGTTTTTAGACTCCTCGGGAAAACTTTCTCATCTGGAAACAAAGGAAATCAGGAAATCCTGAAAGGGGGTGCTGGGAGGGAAAAGGGGGAATCGGGAATGAGGGGAGAAAAGAGGGGTTTTGGGGTGGTTTGAAGAGGATTTGGAGGCATTTGGGTGGAATTCTGAGGGGTTCGGGTGGAATTTGGCGGGAATTTCGGGGAATTTGATGGAATTCCGGATAATTGTAGGGAATTCAGGAGGAATTTCTGCCAATTTAGATGGAATTAATGGGAATTCGGGAGAAATTTTGGCTAATTTAGACAAAATTATTGGGAATTCAGGTGGAATTCTGGATGGTAAGGGTGGAATTCCAATGGATTTTTGTGAGGGCTTTGTGGGATTTTTGTGAGGATTTTGTGGAATTTTTTTGGCGAGGATTTTCTGAGGATTTTTTTGTGGCATTCTGTGGGGATTTTGTGGGATTTCTGTGGAGATTCTGGGGTCTTTTTGGTCAGGGTTTTGGGGGAATTTTTGGATTTTTTTGTGGGATTTTGCGGGATTTTTCTGGAACGATTTTGTAGGATTTTTTGTGGGATTTTGTGGGATTTTTGGGGGTGATTTTAAGAGATATTTTGTATAACTTTCTGTGGGGATTTTATGGAATTTTTGGGAACATTTTGTGGGATTTTTCTGGAAGGATTTTGTAGGATTTTTTGTGGGATTTTTGGAAGGGATTTTAAGAGGTATTTTGTGAGATTTTCTGGGATTTTTGGCATCATTTTGTGGGATGTTTCTGAAAGGATTTTGTGGGATTTTTTGGGGGTGATTTTGTGGGACTTTTGGGAGGGATTTTATGAGATATTTTGTGCTACTTTCTGTGGGGATTTTATGGAATTGTTGAGAGCATTTTGTGGCACTTTTGTGGAAGGATTTTGTAGGATTTTTTGTGGGATTCTGTGGGATTTTTGGGGTGATTTTAATAAATATTTTGTACAACTTTCTGTGGGGATTTTCTGGGATTTTTGGCAGCATTTTGTGGGATTTTTCTGGAAGGATTTTGTGGGATTTTTGGGGGTGATTTTAAGAGGTATTTTGTACAATTTTCTGTGGGGATTTTGTGGGATTTTTCTGAAAGGATTTTGTGGGATTTTTGGGGGATTCTGTGGGATTTTTTGGGGTGATTTTAAGAAATATTTTGTACGATTTTCTGTGGGGATTTTCTGGGAATTCTGGCATCATTTTGTGAGATTTTTCTGGAAGGATTTTCTGGGATTTTTCTGGAAGGATTTTGTGGGATTTTTGGGGGATTCTGTGGGATTTTTTGGGGTGATTTTAAGAGATATTTTGTACGATTTTCTGTGGGGATTTTCTGGGAATTCTGGCATCATTTTGTGAGATTTTTCTGGAAGGATTTTGTGGGATTTTTCTGGAAGGATTTTTGGGGGATTCTGTGGGATTTTTTGGGGTGATTTTAAGAGATATTTTGTACGATTTTCTGTGGGGATTTTCTGGGAATTCTGGCATCATTTTGTGAGATTTTTCTGGAAGGATTTTCTGGGATTTTTCTGGAAGGATTTTTGGGGGATTCTGTGGGATTTTTTGGGGTGATTTTAAGAGATATTTTGTACGATTTTCTGTGGGGATTTTCTGGGAATTCTGGCATCATTTTCTGGGATTTTTCTGGAAGGATTTTCTGGGATTTTTGGGACATTCTGTGGGATTTTTTTGGGGTGATTTTAAGAGATATTTTGTCCAACTTTCTGTGGGAATTTTCCGTGATTTTTGCCATCATTTTGCGGGATTTTCCTGCAACGATTTCCCAGCATTTTGCGCCGGTTTTTTTTTTGAGCTTTTCCTACCCAAAACGCCTCAGAATTCCAGGAAAAATCCGGGATTTGGGATTTACCTTTGGTCAGGGTCCAATCCACGGCAGTCAGCATGGCTTTTTCCAAAGGATCTCCCACGATTGTCCCGTCCTCCAGCTGCACCAGGGAGTGGCAGCAGGCGATGGCCCGGTGAGTTTCCAGAGGGATTTCCGACACCGGCAGCACTTCCTTGCCTTCCCTGAGGGAAAAATTGGAATTTTTGGGATCATCCCGAAGGGTTTTTGTGAAGAGGATGGGTGGGGAGTTGAGGTAAGCGGGAAAAATGGGTGAAATGTTTAAAATTTCCTTAAAAATGCCATGGAATGTGCTGTAGAGTCTCACCAAAAAAACCCGTAAAAATGCCACAAAAATTTCTGATAAAGTAAAAAAAAAATTTTCCCTAAAAAATCTCCACAAAAAATCCCACAAAACCCCACCAAAAATCCCATAAAATTGCCACAAAAATTCCTGATAAACTAAAAAAAAAATTTTCCCTAAAAATCTCCACGAATTCCACCAAAAATCCCACGAAACCCCACCAAAAATCCCAATAAAAAACATAAAAAATCCCAATAAAAACATCAAAAATCCCAATAAAAACGTCAAAAATCCCAATAAAAACATCAAAAATCCCAATAAAAACGTCGAAAATCCCAATAAAAACGCCAAAAATCCCAATAAAAACGTCAAAAATCCCAATAAAAACGTGAAAAATTCCAATAAAAACATCAAAAATCCCAATAAAAACATCAAAAATCCCAATAAAAACATAAAAAAACCCAATAAAAACATCAAAAATCCCAATAAAAACGTCAAAAATCCCAATAAAAACATCAAAAATCCCAATAAAAATGTCAAAAATCCCAATAAAAACGTCAGAAATCCCAATAAAAACGTCAAAAATCCCAATAAAAACATCAAAAATCCCAATAAAAACGTCAAAAATCCCAATAAAAACATCAAAAATCCCAATAAAAACGTCAAAAATCCCAATAAAAACATCAAAAATTCCAATAAAATGTCAAAAACCCCAATAAAAATGTCAAAAATTCCAATAAAAATGTGAAAAATTCCAATAAAATGTCAAAAATCCCAATAAAAACGTTAAAAATTCCAATAAAATGTCAAAAACCCCAATAAAAATGTCAAAAATCCCAATAAAAATGTGAAAAATTCCAATAAAAACGTCAAAAATCCCAATAAAAACATCAAAAATCCCAATAAAATGTCAAAATCCCCAATAAAAATGTCAAAAATTCCAATAAAAATGTGAAAAATCCCAATAAAATGTCAAAAATCCCAACAAAAACGTCAAAAATCCCAATAAAAACGTCAAAAATCCCAATAAAAACATCAAAAATCCCAATAAAAATCCCAAAACCCCACCAAAACGCCCGGATTTGGCGATTCCCGGGGTTTTCCCGGTGGGAATTCTGGGATCAGGACTCACCTGAGCCCGGCCACCCCTCGCACCACGAGGTGGTCGCTGGTCAAGGTCCCGGTTTTGTCGAAGCAGCAAACCTGGACCTTCCCGGCGAAGGGGATCCGGAAAGGTTCCGTGCAGTAAACGTCTGGAAAAACGGGAAAAGTGGGAATTCTGGGAGTGGGGAGGGGTTGGGGGGAAAATGGGGGGGTTTGGGAATTTTTTTGGATGGGGGAAATGGGGAGTTTTATGGGGAAATGGGAATTTTTTTGGGGAAAAATGGGGGATTTTGGGGGAAAAAAATGGGAATTTTGGGGGGAGATGGAGAATTTTTGAGGGGAAAATGGGGGATTTTGGGGGGGGGGAATGGGAATTTTTTTGAGGGGATTTTGGGGGGAAAAAATGAAGAATTTTGGGGAAAAAATGGAGAATTTGGGGGGAAAAATGGGAATTTTTTTTTGGGAAAAACGAGATTTTAGGGGAAAAAAATGGGGAATTCTGAGGGAAAGAAATGGGGAATTCTGAAGGAAAACTGGGTGTTTTGGGGGGAAAAAATGGGGAGTTTTGGGGGAAAGAAAGAGGGAATTTTTGGGGGGGAAAATGGGGGACTTTGGAGCAAAAAAATCAGGAATTTTGATGGGGAAAAAATAGAGAATTTCTGGGGGAAAAACAGTTGGGAATTCAGAGAGGAAAAAATTGTGAGTTCTGAGGAGAAATTGGGAATTTTGGGGAGGGGAAAAAACTGGGAATTCTGAAGGAAAACTGGGAATTCTGAGGGGAAAAAATGGGGAATTCTGAGGGAAAACTGGGGAATTTTTTCGGGAAAACAAAAAAAAAAAAAAAAGAGAAAAGCTGGAACAACCCAAGCTCCCTGTGGGAATCCCAGCCCATCCCAAACAGGGATTTTTATCCCAAAAAAATTCCCAAAAAAGCTCACAGAGCTTGGCCAGGGCGATGAGGGAGGTGTTGACGGCCAGGGAGAGCTCGATGGGCAACTCCGGGGGCACCACGGACGTCAGGATCAGGGCACATTCCAGGAACAGGCGGTACTGGTTCCGACGGGGATCCTTGGTGCCTGGAAATGGGGAAAAATGGGATTAAAATGGGAAAAATGGGATTATAATGGGAAAAAATGGGGTTAAAATGGGAAAAAATGGGTTAAAAATGGGGTAAAATGGGTTAAAAATGGGGTAAAATGGGGTCAGGATGAGGGCACATTCCAGGAACAGGCGGTGCTGGTTCCGACGGGGATCCTTGGTGCCTGGAAATGGGGAAAAATGGGAAAAAACAGGATTAAAATGGGATAAAATGGGTTAAAAATGGGGTAAAATGGGTTAAAAACAGGATAAAATGGGTTAAAAATGGGGTAAAATGGGTTAAAAATGGGAAAAAATGGAGAAAAACAGGATAAAATGAGTTAAAAATGGGGTAGAATGGGGTCAGGATGAGGGCACATTCCAGGAACAGGCGGTGCTGGTTCCGACGGGGATCCTTGGTGCCTGGAAATGGGGAAAAATGGGATTAAAATGGGAAAAAACGGGGTTAAAATGGGAAAAAATGGGTTAAAAATGGGGTAAAATGGGTTAAAAATGGGGTAAAATGGGGTCAGGATCAGGGCACATTCCAGGAACAGGCGGTGCTGGTTCCGACGGGGATCCTTGGTGCCTGGAAATGGGGAAAAATGGGATTAAAATGGGAAAAAACGGGGTTAAAATGGGAAAAAATGGGTTTAAAATGGGATAAAATGGAGAAAAACAGGATAAAATGGGTTAAAAATGGGTTAAAAATGGGTTAAAAATGGGGTAAAATGGGGTCAGGATGAGGGCACATTCCAGGAACAGGCGGTGCTGGTTCCGACGGGGATCCTTGGTTCCTTGGGAATCACAGAAAAATGAGATTAGGGATGAAAAATGGGATCAGGAATGGGAAAAATGGGATCAAAATGGGAAAAGATGGGATAAAAACGGGATAAAAATGGGAAAAACGGGGTCAGGAGTGGGAGAAATGGGATAAAAATGGGATTTGGGGGGAAAAAAGGGAATCAGGACTGGGAAAAAATGGGATGAGAACGGGACCAAAATGGGTTTAAGGAATATAAAAAAGAATCAGGATTGGGAAAAACGGGATCAAAAAGAGGAAAATCCTTCCCAAATCCTTCAGGACCAAAAATTTCCCATCTTTCCCCCAAAGTCTGGGCCAGAAATTCCCAATTTTCCCTCCGAGTTTGGCACAAATCCCTCCCCCAGACTGCCGGAATTCCCGGAATTCCCGGGATTCCCGGGATTCCCACCCTGGATCCAGACGTAGGCGGCGGCGGCGACGGCGAAGACGAGGAGGAAGAGGATGAAGATGAAGGTCTCCAGGTTGTTGGCCGTGACCCTCTTCACTCCAAACAGGATCGTCCGGAGCAGCTTTCCCTGGAAAAACAGCCCCAGCTGACGGAATTCCATGGAATTCTCCGGGAACTCCTTCAAAATTCCGTGGGGTTGTGGGGGGAAAAAACTCCAAAATCTCTTTAGAATTTGAGAGTTTTCTTTGAATTCCCACAGGATTCCGTAAAAAAATCGTGGAATTCCTTCTAAATCCCATGGAATTCCTTTAAAAAATCGTGGAATTCCTTCTAAATCCCAAAGGATTCCTCAAAAAAATCATGGAATTCCTTCTAAATCCCATGGGATTCCTTTAAAAAATCGTGGAATTCCTTCTAAATCCCAAAGGATTCCTCAAAAAAATCATGGAATTCCTTCTAAATCCCATGGGATTCCTTTAAAAAATCGTGGAATTCCTTCTAAATCCCAAAGGATTCCTCAAAAAAATCATGGAATTCCTTCTAAATCCCATGGGATTCCTTTAAAAAATCGTGGAATTCCTTCTAAATCCCAAAGGATTCCTCAAAAAAATCGTGGAATTCCTTCTAAATCCCATGGAATTCCTTTAAAAAATCGTGGAATTCCTTCTAAATCCCAAAGGATTCCTCAAAAAAATCGTGGAATTCCTTCTAAATCCCATGGAATTCCTTTAAAAAATCGTGGAATTCCTTCTAAATCCCAAAGGATTCCTTAAAAAAATCGTGGAATTCCTTCTAAATCCCACAGAATTCCTTAAAAAAATCATGGAATTCCTTCTAAATCCCACAGAATTCCTTAAAAAAACCATGGAATTCCTTCTAAATCCCAAAGGATTCCTCAAAAAAATCGTGGAATTCCTTCTAAATCCCAAAGGATTCCTCAAAAAAATCACGGAATTCCTTCTAAATCTCACAGAATTCCTTAAAAAAACCATGGAATTCCTTCTAAATCCCAAAGGATTCCTTAAAAAAACCATGGAATTCCTTCCAAATCCCAGAGAATTAATTAAAAAAACATGGAATTCCTTCTAAATCCCAGAGAATTAATTAAAAAAACATGGAATTCCTTGCAAATCCCACAGGATTCCTTAAAAAAATCACGGAATTCCTTCTAAATCCCAGAGGATTCCTTAAAAAAACCATGGAATTCCTTCCAAATTCCACAGGATTTCCTAAAAAAACCATGGAATTCCTTCCAAATCCCTTCAAACCCACAGAATTCCTTCCAAACCCTTCAGGATTCCTTGAAAAACCCCAAATCCCTTCGAAATTCCATGAAATTTCCCTGGGATTCCTTCCAAACCCCTCAGAATTCCCTCAAAAGGAGCCAAGGAATGGAAACTCCAACTCTGGGAAAAGCTGGGAATTCCTTCAAAACCTGGGAATTCCTTCAAAACCTGGGAATTCCTTCAAAACCTGGGAATTCCTTCAAAACCTGGGAATTCCTTCAAAACCTGGGAATTCCTTCAAAACCTGGGAATTCCTTCAAAACCTGGGAATTCCTTCAAAACCTGGGAATTCCTTCAAAACCTGGGAATTCCTTCAAAACCTGGGAACTCTTTCCAAGCCTGGAATTCCTTCCAAACCCAGGAATTCTTTCCAAGCTTGGGAATTCCTTAAAAACCTTGGAATTCCTCCCATTCCCGATCCGTATTTTCCTCCCTCTTCCCGAGCCCGGCATTCCCGAGCCCCCGGTCCCTGGAATTCCCGGAATTCCCTGGAATTCCTGGAATTCTTGGCTCACCTGGGAGGTGTTGAAGCCGGTGCGGAGGGCGAAGGCCAAGCACCCGTTATCCACGGCTGGGGAGGGAACAAATCCCGCTGAATCCCAGGGAATTCCCGGGAAAACCCACTCAGGGAATTCCCAGGAAAACCCACTCGGAATTCCCAGGGAATTCCCAGGAAAATCCACTCAGGGAATTCCCAGGAAATGCTGAGCAAATCCCGAATTCCAGGAAATAACCCCTGGATTTCAGGGTGGGAGTTTGGGAATTTCAGGCTGGAATTTCAGGCTGGGATTTTTGGGAATTTCAGGCCGGAATTTTGGGGAATTTCAGGCCAGGATTCCAGAGGATTTCAGGCTGGGATCAGGGCCAGGATTTCAGGGAATTTCAGGCCGGGATTTTGGGAATATCAGGCTGGGATTCCATGCTGGGATTTTAGGGATTTCAAGGAATTCCAGGCCAGGATTTCAGGGAATTCCAGGGAATTTCAGGCCAGGATTTCAGGGAATTTCAGGCCAGGATTTCAGGGAATTTCAGGCCAGGATTTCAGGGGATTTTGGGGAATTTCAGGCCAGGATTTCAGGGAATTTCAGGGGATTCCAGGCCAGGATTTCAGGGAATTCCAGGCCAGGATTTCAGGCCAGGATTTCAGGGGATTCCAGGCCAGGATTTCAGGGAATTTCAGGGAATTCCAGGCCAGGATTTCAGGGAATTTCAGGCCGGGATTTCAGGGAATTTCAGGCCAGGATTCCAGGGAATTTCAGGCCAGGATTTCAGGGAATTTCAGGCCGGGATTTCAGGGAATTTCAGGCCAGGATTTCAGGGAATTTCAGGGAATTCCAAGCCAGGATTTCAGGGAATTTCAGGCCAGGATTTCAGGGAATTTCAGGGAATTCCAGGCCAGGATTTCAGGGAATTTCAGGGAATTTCAGGCCAGGATTTCAGGGAATTTCAGGGAATTTCAGGCCAGGATTTCAGGGAATTTCAGGGAAGTATAGGCCAGGATTTCAGGGAATTCCAGGCCGGGATTTCAGGGAATTCCAGGCCGGGATTCCAGGGAATTTCAGGGAATTTCAGGCCAGGATTCCAGGGAGTTTCATGGAATTCCAGGCCAGGATTTCAGGGAATTTCAGGGAATTCCAGGCCAGGATTTCAGGGAATTTCAGGGAATTCCAGGCCAGGATTTCAGGGAATTCCAGGCCGGGATTTCAGGGAATTTCAGGCCAGGATTTCACGGAATTCCAGGCCGGGATTTCAGGGAATTTCAGGCCGGGATTCCAGGGAGTTTCATGGAATTCCAGGCCGGGATTCCAGGGAATTTCAGGGAATTCCAGGCCGTGATTCCAGTGAATTCCAGGGATTCCAGGGATTGGGGATCACCCACGCCGGATCCCTGCGGCGGCGCGCGGGGGCGGGAGGTGTTGGATGACGCGGGTCCCTCCGAACAGGACGTGGAGCCGCCCGTCCGTCCCCACATCCAGCACTCGCTCCGGGCTCAGCCCCTCCACCGGCTCCTGTGGGAATTTCCCATCATTCCCAAAAAATATTCCCACTTTTCCACCAATTTTCCCGATTTTCTCCCAATTTTTTCCCATTTTCCCCCAATTTTTTCCCATTTTCCGCTAATTTTTCCCGGTTTTTTTCTCATTTTTTTCTCCTGGTAGTTTCTCCAATTTCTCTTTTTTTTTTTCCCCCCCACTTTTCCCATTTTTTTCCCAATTTTCCCATTTTTCCCCCACGTTTTTCCCACTTTTTTCTCCAATTTTTCCCCAATTTTATCCCAATTTTTTTCCCAATTTTCCCCCAAATTTTTCCCCCAATTTTCTCCCATTTTTCCCCCCAATTTTTTCCTGTTTTCCCCCAATTTTTCCCCAATTTCATCCCGATTTTTTCCCCTGTTTTTTCCCAACTTTCCCCCGATTTTCCCTCAATTTTCCCCCAATTTTTCCCTGATTTTTCCCCGTTTTTTTCCCATTTTTTCCCATTTTTCCCCACCTTCATCTGTGGCACGGACTCTCCTGTCAGCATGGCCTCGTCCACCACGCAGCGCCCGCGCAGCAGCAGGAGGTCACAGGGCACCAAATTCTCCTGGGGGGAGCGGCCTGGGGGCACAAATTCCCAAAATTCCCAACAATTCCCAAAATTCCCCAGCCCAAACCCAAATTTTCTGGGGTTTTCCCCCATTTTTCCCCAATTTTTTCCCATTTTTTCCCAATTTTTTCCCATTTTTTCCCAATTTTTTCCCATTTTTTCCCAATTTTTTCCCAATTTTTTCCCATTTTTTCCCAATTTTTTCCCATTTTTTCCCAATTTTTTCCCTCAATTTTCCCCCAATTTTTCCCAGCTCCAAAATTCCCGTTTTTCCCTGGATCTGGAGGAAAAGGAAAAATTCGGGAAAGAGCAGCCCCCGGAATTCTGGGAATTTTGGGAATTGGCGGGATGGGTGGAAAAAGCGAAGAATTCCAAGGAAAAAAAGAGGAAAACCCCGGTGATAAAACCTCCCCCCCCAAGTCCAACCCAGAATTCCTGCAAATCCCAGGAAAATTCCAAAGGGATCTCCTGGAAAAATGGGAATTCCCTCTCAAAAATGGGGGAAAATCCCAATTTCTCAGGGATTTTTCCATGAAAATCTCCATTTTCAAGGCGCTTTCCACCACAAAATCCCATTTTTTGGGGGCGTTTTCCATGGAAATCCCCATTTTAAAGGAATTTTTCCAGGAGAATTCCCGTTTTTCAGGATGTTTTCCGTGAAAATTCCCATTTTTCCTCGGGAATTCCCGGTTTTTTACCGATGGAGACGACGTCCCCGGCCACGATCTCCTCGCTGGAAATCGGGCGCCACTTCCGGTTCCTGTAGACCTGGAATTCCCAAAAATTCCCGATTTTTGGGATGGAATCGGTGGGAAAAGGAACAAAAATTAATCCAAACCCCCCCAAAATCCCGATTTTTAAAGGGAATCATTGGGGAAATGATGGGAAAGGGGGGAAAAACCCAAAATTTAGGGACAAAATCAGCAGGAAAACCACGGGAAAAGGGAAAATAAATGGGGAAAAATCCCCAAAAAATCCCCAAAATTCCATTTCCCACTCAAAAATCCAAAGAAAGAGGGAAAATAGATGGGAAAAAATTCCCAAAACCCACAAAAATCCCATTTCCCGGGGAAACAATCCAAGAGAAAACAGAAAATAAATGGATTAAATCCCCAAAAATCCCGATTTTGGGGGGCCAAACCGGGGGGAAAAGCGCGAGGAAACGCTCCCAGAGGGGAGGATTTTGTGGGATGGGCCGGAATTCCGGGTTTTTACCTGGATCATGAAGGGTTTGTTGCCCATTTTCCGGATCTCCGAGAGGTTCCGGAGCTGCTGCTGCACCAGGGAGGCCTCGAAAGCCACGAGCATGGAGAGGGTGAAGACGCTGTAGTACCAGAACTCGTCCAGGCACCACAGCCCCACGCAGAAAACCTGGGAAAAACGTGGGAATTCTGGGATATTCTGGGATATTCCGGGATATTCCGGTGTTTCAGCTCAAAATTCCTGAAATTCTAGCCCAAAATCCCGGAAATTTCAGCCCAAAATCCCGGAAATTTCAGGGGAAAAGGGGGAAAATTCATCCCAATCCAAGACAGAATTCCTGAAATTCCAGGGGAAAAGTGACCAAATTCATCCCAGAATTCCAGGGGAAAAGTGACTGAATTCATCCCAGAATTCCTGAAATTCCAGGGGAAAAGTGACCGAGTTCATCCCAGAATTCCTGAAATTCCAGGGGAAAAGTGACCAAATTCCAGCCCAGAATTCCTGAAATTCCAGGAGAAAAGGGACCAAAGCTTTTCCTGAAGTTCCAGGGAAAAAGTAACCAAATTCATCCCAATCCAGCCCAGAATTCCTGAAATTTCAGTCCAAAATTCCTCAAATTCCAGCCCAGAATTCCTCAAAATCCAGAACAAAAAGAACAAAAATTATTCCTGAAATTCCAAGGGAAAAAAGAAACCAAAACTCTCCCAATCCAGCCCGGAATTCCCGTGATTTTCACAGGAATGGGAATTTTCCCTGAGTTTATTCCCAATTTTCAGCAGATTTGGGGATTTTTCCCAGTTTTTTTTTTCCCCAAATTTGGGAAATTTTTTCCCGCTTTTTCTTCCCGATTTTTACCTGGAAAACGAAGAACGGAGCCGTGGCTCTTTCCTTGAAAAGCTCCAGGAATTCCGGCACCACCATTTCCACCCTGCCAGGAGAGAATTCCTTGGAAAAACCTTGGAAAAACCTCGGAAAATCCTGATTTTCCACTCAAAATTCAGTATTTTTTTTTTTTCCCTGGAATATTTTGAGGTATTTCCCCGAGAAATCTGAATAATTTTGGGAATATTTTCCCAAAACGTTCCGAGGTTTTTTTCTGGAATATTCTGGGGATTTTTCCCAGGGTATTCTGGGACATTTTGGAATATTTTCCTGGAATATTTTCCCAGAATATTTGAAATATTTTGGGAATATTTTCCCGGGATATTTGGAGATTTTTCCCGGGATATTTTGGGGATTTTTCCCAGGATTTCCCCCCAGGAAAGCCTCACTTGTTATTCCCGTATTTCCTCTCGGCCTCCCGGATTTCCTGCTCCTCTTGGAACCCTCTGGAATTCTGGTAGAATCCCAAGGGATGCTCCACAGGGAACGCCACGGGCAGGAATTGTTTTTTTCCATGGATTTCGTAGGAATATTTGATCTTCTGGAACTCGAAGCTCAGCACTTCCTGCCCATCCTCACCCTGGGGAAAAAAAAAAAAAACGGGAAAAATCCCAAATTTCCCAGTCTTGGAAAAATCTCCAGCCCGGATGGGGTGAAAATCCTGGAATTCCAAGGATTTCACGGGGAAAAATCCCCAAATTCCAACATTTTCCCGCAGGGTTTTGCCTGAAATTCCCAGATTTTCACCCATTAATTGGATATTCAGGATGAATCCCAGCACAATTCCCAGGTTTTCCCCATTTTCAGGGTTAAAATCCATTGATTTCCCAGATTTTCCCCCATTAATTGCATTTTCAGGGACAAATCCCAACAAAATTCCAGGATTTTCCCCATTTTCTGGGATGAATCCCAGCGGAATTCCCGGATTTTCACCCCGCAGACGGATTCTCTTGGATTCATTGCCTTTTCCCGGACGAATCCCGGCGGAATTTCCGGGAATTCCCGGATTTCCTCACCTGTTCCCTGTGGATCGGCACCAATTCCACGGAGCCGTTGTTGGGGGTCGGCACCACCTTGGCCAGGGTGGCTTTTTGGGGACAGGGCTCCTGGGGAAAACAGCAGGAAAATCCCTTGGAATTCCCATATTTTGGTGGCCTTAAAATCCCATCTTTACACCTCAAACGTTCCCTAATTTATCCCTTTAAAATCCCTTGGAATTCCCGCTTTTTAACACCTTTAAAATCCCATCTTTACACCTCAATTATTCCGTGTTTTATGTCTTTAAAACCCCCCAGCTTTATATCCCATATCCCACATTCCCCACGCTTTATATCCCAGAATTTAACACTTTTTAAAGAGTATTTTAACGCTTAATGTTTATCATTTAATATTTCGGAAATTAACACCCCCAAATCCCCTTTAAATCCGGAACCCTTTCAGCCCCAAATGCCCCCCAAACCTCAAATCCCCTCAGTCGAATCCCCCCAACCCCAAATCCCCTCAGCCCCAAATCCCCCTCAATCCTTTCCCGCCCTCAGCTCCAAAATCCCCTCAGCCCCAAACCCCCCCCAGCCCCAAAATCCCCCCAAATCCCCTCAACCTCAAATCCTCTCAATTCCAAATTCCCTCAATCTTTTCCCGCCCTCAGCCCCAAATCCCCCCAACCCCAAATCCCCTCAGTCCTTTCCCCACCCTCAACCCCAAAATCCCCCCCAAGTCCTCTCAAACCCAAAATCCCCTCAGCCCTAAATCCTCACAGCCCCAAATCTCCCCTCAATCCCCTCAACCTCAAAATCCCCTCAGTCCTTTCCCGCCCTCAGCCCCGATCTCCCCCAAATCCCCTCAGCCCCAAATCCCCCCTCAGCCCCAAATCCCCCCCTAAGTCCCAAATCCCCCCTCAGCCCCGA